TATTTAAAGAAACAATAAAAAGCTTTAATTAAATGAAGTTCATCCACAACACTAAACAGCAAATTACAACAGAGATGGCATTGCATTCATGTGAGTGTGATTTGTGAATCCCAGTTTTTGTCTTGCATTGGTATAAATGTTGCTGAGTTGAAGAAAGAGGTATGAGATGGTAGATATGCAACCTGCATCAACATGTATGGAGAAATCACTTAATTCTAAGGATGCAAATAATAGTCAGCAAAAGGAAAGAAAAAAAGAAAAAACGTTCCTAAAAACATAAAAATATATACCTGATTGATATTGAATGGATGACTCAGGAAAGCTTGCTCGCTATGAATGAATAATTTAAAAAGGAATTAGCATCCAATTAAGGGAGATGGACATCTCATTAGAAGCAAATCAACAGACATATATACCTGAGCTGAGCTGAGCTGAGCTGGGCATGGCATTATAGACTGTCTTTAAATAATTGATTCGGGTCGACACAGCCATATTTAATGTTTACCCGAGGGTGATCATCGTTGCTGAGTGAGTAATCAAAAATGGTATTAGCGAGATAGACATCTTAAGAGCAAATCAATCAAGATTAGATTATTAAGCAAATCAATGGAGATTAACACTTGGATTCATTCAGAAACAAGAGATAGAAACATTTATTTATGAAATACCAGTGAGAGAGAAGGAATGGAATGCAAGTGATGGAAAAAAGGGAGAGTAATGAGACTTACCCAATATATTTGATGAAAGGTAGGAAGACATACTCATCGTCAGGATTCTCCCACTCCAATGATTCCCACCATTTTTTTTTACTTTCAATATAGATTTCTTTCATAGCAGCAAGAGATGGTTGCCCGTTTTCCCTTCCAAGACAGAGGGGAATCCTCTTGACCTTAGGGCAGTCGATTATATAAATGGAATTGAGAGAATCACAAGCCATTACTCCTCCTTCGGGGTAGATTCTCTTCAATTTTGGTAGGGATTTCAACCCCAATATCCTTAATTTTGGAAGAGGGATCAATATTGGAGTAGTTGTTTGATTTCCTACCTCTTCTTCTTCCCATCCTATTATTTCCTCCATCTCCCAGCAACTGTTGACTATAATCTGCTCCAAGTTTTGGAGGCCTTGACCTTGCAGCAGCTCACATGGAAACAGCTTCTTCAAGTTTGGACCACAACCCCTTACTATCAGGTGTTTAAGATTGGAAAAGATGTGAGGGCATATTGTCGGTGCAAGCGACGCTGTTGTTTTTTCTACTTTCACAATGTCCCGCAAGCTAAACAAATTGAAAAGACATAGCTTTTCAAGGTTATTCATAGCTGTCAAGGAAGAAGATGAAGATGACGAGAAGGAGACCACACATTCTATCCCTTGGCAGTCGTACAATTCATATGTTTGCAATTGAGTCAAATTTCTCAGAGAAATAGAAATATCAGCGACCATATTGCAGCATCCAATCAACAAATTCCGAAGGTCATCTGGAAGCACCAACTCCTCTTCATATCCTATATTGCAGTCGGATAAAGCAACCTTTCTGACAATATCATCGTTGTGGAATTTCCCAAAATACCACCCCACATTTCGGACCACTCCCACACGTAACCAGTAATTATTGGGTCTCCTAAATTGGTTCAACTTGCTAACAAAACTGTTGAGGTCCTTCAGCTGATCAAATATACCTTCAAAACATTCCAGCATGTTCAATCTTGCTACTTCTTCTGCTCTTATATCAGTTGAAAAAATTGGATTTTTACGTAGGTATTGGAGGCGAAAGAGCTTACTGATTTTTCCTTTTGGTAGTACCTTCAGCTTTGGAGCAGATAAATCAAGATATTCTAGATTTTCTAACATTTCAATGCCTTCAGGAGCCACATAAAGGCCCGCTTCATCCAAATCCAACTTCTTCAGTGCTTTAAGCTTTGACAAGGAAGGCATGCGTTCTAAACTCTCACATGCACAGAGAATCAGTGCTGTAAGATTTTTTAAGCTACACATGGAATTAGGTAAAGCCTCAATGCCAGTATAAGAAAGATTAAGAAACTTCAGTAGGGGCATGTTTGCTAGAAAACACTCTGGAATTTGCTTCAATTCTAAGTTACCCTCCAAAATTAAGGTTGAGAGCATCAAGCATTTGGGGAACATATTTATAGGGATATATGATATTTCATTGTACATAAGGGAAACCTTGTCTATATCTTCAGTCCATTTATCCTTCTCTGGTATCTCTGTCAATCTCATTTTAGCTTTCACCATGAACTTACTTGGACCGGTGCTCTTAACACGCAATGCCATGTCCCTCACAACATCATGCATCTTAACACCGTTTAGATATCCGTCACTGCCTTCCTCTAACAGACAATTGTTTTCAAGCTTACTTAAAATTTCATGTCCTCTATCATGCATTTCTCTTCTGCTCCCTAATTTTTCAACAAGTCCATCACAAATCCAGTCTTCAATTAGATCTTCTCTTTGAATCACCCAATCTTCTGAATACAATGAGCAATATAATAAACATTCTTGGATGCTTGAATTTGGTAGACGGTCATAACTGAACTTCAAACATTGAAATATCTGATCTTCTGAATCTTTCTCTATATCCACCACACACTGACGCAATCGACGTAATGCACTTCTCCACTGACGAATAAGTGTTACACCTTTCATGCTCCCAGCAATGACAACAATGGCCAATGGCAAACCAGCGCATTCTGCCACCATATCCTTCAAAATCTTTTCCAAATTAGGAATTCGTAGAATGTCTTGTCCAACCTTATCTAAAAACAAGTTCAAAGACTCTTGCTGTGGAAGAGGAGGCACCTTCACTATCTGACATCCCAAGTAGTTGCATACATCAACTGATCTACTAGTAATAACAATTTTGCACCCATTTTCTGTTGTTGGTTCTGGTATTCCAACTCTTTGAAGATCAAATTTATCCCACACATCATCTAAGATCAATGCATATTTCACTGTTTCCATAATGTCCTTCAATCTA